GGATCGTTCGTGACTACTAAACGCTCTTATTGTATTGAAAGGCCTCTTGCTATTTTTCCTTAGCGAAGACAAATCAATCTTGGTTGGTTATAGTAATGCCAAAATACTTATTGAGTTTTACTAAAATCTTTTCACTTTTATTGAAAAAGTTCCTCACTTGCACGAAGAACCAAACTGAGTTAGCGCCATCGTTAATATTGCTACTACGAGATTCTCGCACATTCATATTTACAATATTTCGCATATCTATATCACCACTGTCATATAGAAGGCATCGTGACTGACATGAGATTTAATGCCACAGAGTCATGATCCCGAACATATAGACCAACTTTTTTCAGCAATATGGCATTGCTTAACGACAGGGTGAGACTAGCTTTATTTGTGCATTTATCATGGTTTTTAACATATACTAATTTTTTTGCTTTTATTCTTAGATAAGAAAACATAACGAGATTTCTCAACTTGAAGGTGATGTGCTGGACGTGTCAATTATACGATCAGGGTAATGGAACTGCTCGTGAAATAGGTAACTTGTGTATGCCCGCCTTTTCGCATGACAGTTGCCAGCCTCGGCTACAGATTTTACGTTTTTAAACTAACTTCAACTTTATTAATTTATATTTATATTACCTTCAAATAATGCAAAAAATTTTGACCACATAAACATTGTGTAAAGAAACATAATAATGTGTATAAATTGAATTCATTTTTAGATCTAACCAAAAATAAGTTCAAGTATCAATCTTTAATCAAAGTATGAAAAATGAACGTATTTCCTGAAAGTTTCTTTAGTTACAAATAAATATTCAATAAAAAAAAAGGATCATTATTCAAGGTGAATAACTGAACGAACACTACAAAGAAAAAAAAAGATGTTTAATGAAAAGCTATTGAAATTTTAATTGTAACACCCATATTAATCTTCTGACCGACCTTTCACCAGAATGCAAATCATCGAAAGCTTTATTGATATCTTCCAGTTTATATTGATGAGAGATATACATATCAATTTCCAATTTCTTTTCAAGATATTCTTCAACTAAATTTGGTAATTCACTTCTTCCTCTAATACCACCAAATGCACTTCCTTTCCATACTCTGCCATTTAAAAGTAGAAATGGACTAGCATGTATTTCTTCATTTGCACCAGAGATTCCAATAATAATTGATTCACCCCCTCCTTGTTGACATGATTCAAGTGCTGCTCTCATTACTTTTGTATTTCCCGTACAATCAAATGTATAATCCAATCCTCCATCTGTCATTTCAACCAAAACCTATATCGTAATAGACATTTTAATCAAGAATTCTGGGGGAGAAAACATAAAGATATACCATTTTTCACCTGTTGAATCGGTTTATCATAATCTTCAGGATTCATGAAATCAGTTGCCCCAAGTTTCTTTGCTGAAATGAATTAAAAGCGATTCAAATTAAATAAATTTATAATTCACTATATGATGATTACGTGAAAAATTATTTACCGAATTCAAATTTCTTTGGATTTATATCAACTGCAAAAATTCGACTATTAAGAATAAAAAATTGTTTAGAACATAACCTTTCCTCAAAGTTTTTTTTAAAAAAAAAAAAAAAAAATGAAATGATTATTTAAACAACCACCTAGCTTTACAAGCCGCAGCACCTTGCACTACGGATAGACCAACTCCACCGCAACCAAATACCGCTACTGTAGATCCTGGTCGAATGTTGGCTGTTTTTGTAGCTGCTCCATAACCTGTGGTAATACAACAACCGAGCAAGCAAACTTTATCAAGTGGGGCTTTAGGATTAATCCTTGCGACCGATGCTTCAAACAAGACTTTTATAGTAAAAAAAATTTTAGTTAATTTAAATAATTTAATAATAGAACATTCCTTTTAATACCTTTATCTTATATATTTAATAAAATATTCTTTTTTTTTGATATCATTGCATTACCTGTGTATTGACTAAATGTAGAACAACCCATGTAATGGTATACTTTCTGTCCTTTACAAGTAAATCTAGTGGTTTTATCTAGCAATAATCCATTTCCCTAAAATAAATCGCGCAATGCTTTAAAAAAAATATATATATTTATTACCAATAAAAGTTTACCGAATAAATTACCAGGGTCGATCCCGCCAAAGAACAAAAATTTGTTCTTCCGCTTTTACAAAATTTGCATTCACGACATTCGGGAATATATAATGGAATCACATGATCCCCTGGTTGAACGGTTGTAACGCCTTCTCCAATGGATTCCACTATACCACCTCCTTCATGTCCAAAGATTACTGGCCACCAAATTCCACCAGGATCTGTGTAAATCACAAAACAAAAACAAAGTTTAGGAATCTAATCAATTAAACCATAAAGAAAACCTTTTCATTACCTCTCCCAGATAGAGTAATCGCATCTGTGTGACATCTAAAAAGAACACGTGATACAACAGTAAATTAATTTGGTGTATAAATCATTTGATTTTTTTTCAATTATAAACAGGAAACTTACACTCCAGATGCCAATATCTTAACACGAACTTCTCCTTTCTACACAATTCTATTAACATTAATAATATGTTCAATCGTTGTTGCTGCGCCACGAAACAATTGACGTACCTTTGGAGGTGCAACTTCTACTTCCTCAATGCCTATTGGTCAAGTAAGTTACAATCATAATATAACAAAGATTATTAAATTTTCAAATAATTCGCATTTTTTTTAAGATGCTTACTTAATGGTTGAGCCGGACCCCAGGCTACTGCAGCTTTACACTTAATAACCTACCCAAAAGAATAAAAAATAAAAAATATATATATATATATTTTTTTCTTGTAATAACGGTAGAAAGATGATTACATACTTGTCCTGTTGTTGACATTTTTTTTTCTCTCTGCTTTCCTTTTTTTTTTTTGTTTCAAAAACGATCTTTGACGTTTAAATATTTCAATTTTCATCATTTTTTAACTAATCCGTTTTTTCCTAGTCAATGTTCCCGAAGTATCCGAATGATTAAAGAGAAAATGCGCCAATCTTTTATTATTAGTGTAATTAATTAAACCTTGCATCGACAAATTTAATTTCTACTTATCATCAATGACTTTTGACATAAAAGACGCGTCTTAACGTTTCCTCATTTAGATAAGCTAAGGGAAATTCATTTAACAGGATCGGGAAAATTTCTAATTAAGGTAATCTCTTAAATTTTGGTTATCTTGTCATTGGTAATGAAATAATATCGGATCGGAAAAATTCGAAAAGATATTCTTTCGTGACTCTTCAGTTTCATTTAGTTTAGACCGGGTAAATTTGTTAATTTTATTGCCAAATTACCATATTCGAATATGGTTTGGATATATACTGTATAATATGTTAATAAAGTGAGATCAGCTGATTTCTGTTCGTCATAAATTGTAGTTTAAACAATTTTTTTTCTTGGCACAAAAAAAAAAATCAACATGGTCAGAAAATTAAAATACCATGAACAAAAATTACTCAAGAAGGTTGACTTTCTTCAGGTAACTAATTGTTTCATTCTTATTGCATATATTAAGTTTGAATGTCGTCATTTTAACTAATTCATTTTTCAATATCAGTGGAAAAATGAAAATAATATAAGAGAAATAAAAATCATTCGTCGTTACCATTTACAAAAACGAGAAGATTATCACAAATATAATAAATTATGTGGTTCAATAAAAAAACTCGCCAATCGTATATCATTGTTAGATCCAAGAAATCCTTTTAGAAATAAGCAAGAAACTGCATTATTGGATAAACTGTACTCGATGGGGTTAATCACCGGTAAAAAACAATTTAGTCAAACCGATAAAATTAATGTTTCAGCCTTTTGCAGGTGAGTTTCATTAAAAAGTACGAATTGGCAGGTGGGTATAGTGAAGTTGATTAATCTTTTTTCCTCATAGACGAAGGTTACCTATTGTAATGTGTCGATTAAAAATGGCCGAAACCGTTAAGGAGGCTGTTACATTTGTTGAACAGGGTCATATACGTGTTGGCCCTGAAACAATTACTGATCCAGCCTACTTGGTAACAAGGTAAAGTTTTTAAATATTTTTATCATCATTGCATTAAAATTTAATCAATTTCTTATTATATTATTATATTTTTAGAAATCTTGAGGATTTTGTAACTTGGGTAGATACTTCCAAGATTAAACGAAAGATTATGAAATATAATGACAAGGTAACTAACTCATAATCTTTTTGACAAAAAGAATTTTTTTTTCTCTCTTTACTAATTCAATTTATTAATTTATTAGCTTGATGATTATGATTTATTATGAGATTTTATCAATTTAATACATGACGACATTAAATAAATAATTTATAGAATTTTATATATTAAAAATTGTTAATATAAATAATACAAAACAATAATCGGTGACTTCTTTTATTTCTTAAAAGGAAGAAAAAAAAATAAAATTCAAAAGAAAAAATAAAGAACTTGAAAAACAAAAAAGAACTGAAATTCCTTTTTTTTTTAAAAAAAAAAATTCAATAAATCAATCTTTCTAATACATTTAACTTTTTTCTTTGAACCATGTTCTAAAGAAAATAATCTAAAAGCATATAAGTGAAATGCAATAATTGAAATAATTGCAAACGAATTAAATAACGAATGTTATTCAGGATTTAGAACTTCGAACAAAAGTGGGTGGGGGGTGATGAGGAAATACTAATCAGAAAAATCCATTAAATCAGATATTGAAAGAAATATACCATACCCAAATCCACTAAAAAACCAAAGTAAAAAAAGGAATATACTAAACCACTATATTAAATTCTTTAAAAATAGAAGGAAAAAAAAAATACTAGAAATCCACTCCACTTTTCTAGTAAAGGGAAAATCATATTTTGTTAAAGATTTAAAAAATTCACAAATTATCCAAATAAACTAAAAATAATAATAATAAACCTTTCATTATAATTTAATTTTTCCCCATAATAATAATTCTTTGCTTATCTTATCCAACCGAAAAAATTCAAAATAAACTTAATATAAGAAATAAAACATAAACTGTATAATAATAATAAGAAATAATAAATTATGTACAAAAGGAAAAAACAATAAAGCAATCGAAAGGAAAAGAATGTATTAAGGAATTTAAAAAATTTTTTTTTTTTTTTATAGAAAAGCAAGATAAAAAGTTATATACAGAAAAAAAAGTAAAGTAATTTGCTGTTTATATTTGCAATAATTATGAATGAAGAGTAATATAAAAAGCATCAATTTTTTTGTGGTGTCAACACCCGCATTGATGTAGAAATTGATTGAAAAATAAAATGGTTTATAAAATAAATTAGGAAATAAAGTAAAAGATGGATGTATTATATAATTTTATTTTTAAATGCGAGAAGAGGGGAAAGGAGTAGGAAAAAATGAATAGAATGTATTAAGAAATGTTGGTATAAGGATTTTTCTGTGAGTAAGTAGCAAGTGTCTATAAAAAAAATTTTTTTACAAAATTAGGCAAGTAACATAGAAAATTAATAAATTCAGTAAAGATTGAAAAGAAAAGCAGAGATGGATTTACAGTATATAAATGTCTAATTATAGGAAAGAAAAAAGGGAAACTTAAAAGGATAGGAAAAGGAAAAGTAAAAAGAAATAGAATAAATAGTTCATTGTTTTAAAGAAAAAAAAAGATTTAGATATATAATAACTTTCGAACGTAATAATATTACTACATTGTGATAAATTGTAAAATACATAACAAATCAAGTACAATGAATTTATTATTCACATCAACTTTAAATTCAACTTTGTTATATCAGTATATTAGTAATTTAAAAGGTATTCGCTACATATCACATCCCAACTCTTTGGCAAACCAATCCAAAAAGACGACGTGGTATAAGCCTTGCCATTTGCTCAAGAACTTTTTATTCAAGAAATTTTGACTCAATTGGCGTTGCCAACTAATAACCTCAACTTTCCAACCGCGTTCCAAAGCCTTGATTATACATTTGTGAAAGCCTCCTTGGAAATATTCTGCATCCTTTCCATCTCCACTAGCGAGGACCAAAGTAGCCGGAGCATGGTGATCCAACAAAGATTCCAAGATCTTGAGATGGAGAAGCTCATCAACACATTGTTCTTTTTCCATCTCGTATTGCTGAGGTGGTTGTTGATAATCATTTTCACTAAGGTCATCCAAACTTGATCTTTTAACACGCTTTAAAACAGAAACTTCGTAACCAGTTTGAGCCGCTTGTTCAAGTGGTTGATATAATGGGGAGGAAGCTACTAAAACTCTACGTGCGATATTCCTTCCACGTTCTAGAATTGTGAAGAGAGCATCGTATTCTAATGCGGGTTTTTGTCTTGGACCCAAAGATGCTGCTTTAGGATTTTGCGTTCGTTTTACATATTGTTGCTGCTTGTAATATGCCAAGAATCCAACCAGGATGTTGGAATTATCAATGAAAACGTGGATAGGATCATCCGATATCTTGATTGGAATAGGAACCCTAAAACGGATCTTAGTTGACTCGTTTGCATCGTATGTTTCTGGATTTTTTACAACCAAAGCTGATTCTTTTTCTTTATTATGCCTGGATGAAAGATTTACTCGAGTAGATTCGTTAAAATGGACCTTTTTAACGTTATCAACATGCTATATTAGTAAAAATCGTGAACGTTAGTATGCTCTACTAATGGTAGATTTAACGTCCTCAAAAAGGATTAACATAAATTAGAACCTTACCGTTTCAACGGCCACGTTAGCCTTTGATACCTTCGCAATCGCGGTTTTTTTGCCCCTTTTCTTCTTTGATGTCACTTTCTCTTTGCTAACTGTTACAATACCTTCAACTTTCTTCTTTGGTTGTGGTTGCACCGACTTAAGTACTTTCTGTTCCGTGACTACTATCTCTTCCTCGGAGGAATATTCAGAAGAAGAAGAATGGGGTAGCCGTGGAGGTTGCTTTACTTCACCTTCTATTGATTGACCAATATCTACAATGGGTGTGGAGGTTATGTTTGAATCACACCATTTCGCTTTTTCTCCCTGTAGAAACATCCATAACCCTCCGAAATCTCCTAGATTTTGATTTTCTTGTGTTGTTTGATTTTCCAAGTATGACCATAGAGGTAAATTATTTGAGGAACTTTTGGATGTGGCAGCACGTGATGACGAAGATTGAGTTTTGGGTTTCTTCGAGTGTGTCATTATTTTATCTCTACTGTACAGTTTCTTATTTTTATTTTTATTTTTTTATTTTTAAAAAACTACAACAAATCTACTAAACCTCAAAAAATACCGACTCCACAAACTAATAATTAGGAAAATATGAAAAAATAGAAATAATAATTTGTCAACGAAAAAATGTGAGAGTTCGTTTAAATTCTTACTGGTATTTATATAACTCATCAAGAATAGCAATGTGAATTTTCATATTGTATTTAAGCTTTGTATTACCATGAACAAAGAATTGGTCTTAACCCCCCTGAAATACCCCCAGTAGTTATTTAATTTATACATTTTTAATTAAACGATCAGCAAATCGATTATTGATCAGGCTTACTTAGTATTGGATTTTTTGCCGCAGTCACGTTTTTACACGTAATGTGATGAAATAAAAACCCCCGAACTTAATTTGGCAGAGAGCTACACCGAGACATTTTTTCTTTACATGAATCGAACATTCGTCCATTCTGTTCTGTTAAATTCTTCGATTTTAGGACAAGAAAGATTCCATAAAAAAAAGGGCTTTTGAAAGTTAATAAAAAAAAGAATTTCATTTAAACTAATAAAGTTCATTTTATCTTCTTTCATGATAACAAGTTTAATATTTATCCCATTTGACATCTGTTTGTACATTTCAGCCAATTTTTTCACAATACAATGTTAACGTAATTCGTTAATTGGGTTTCACCATTTTCTCAATGAACCGAAAAAGTTTTGACGAAATTTGTAAAAAAAGGAACGTGAACCAATTGTACCAATAGGACGTGTCCTTTGTAGATATATAATGACTCATTATAATTATAATCATATACAGTATATATTTCGAACGAAAAAAATTGTCTATCGTTGATCATCTTCTTTACGATATATCTATAAATAAATATCAATGATTCTTGGTTATTTTTTCTCACCAATTTGATATTTTAATTATGATTACTCAATGATTTCAAAGAAATAAAAATAATCCAGTATGGTTTTTTTTTTGAATTAAATACTAGTGGCAAATTTATTATCAAAAAGATATGCTTTCATCACATGAGTTTCACATGATTAGCTTCTGATTGGACAAATATTTTATTCAAAAAAAAAAAAATATATCGAGATTTCTTCCCTCTTTTCTTTTTCCGAAACTGTTTTGGTCGTTAAGTGGTCATTATACAAAATGGTATGGTAATTTTTTCTTTTTCTTTTTATATTAAAGCTGGTTTTGGTAGTTCTCGGATAATGATATATATATATATATATATTATATATATTTGAAAGAAAGATTTTACTGGGTTGAATTTACCAAAAAGGTGGTTGGTGGTATTTTTGTTAATTGGGTTAAGTGTTTAGAAAATAATATAATGGCGTATCCATTTTATTTTCCTTTTTTCAATGATCAATTCGATATTTTAGTTAATTTACAAATTCGATCAAATCGAAAAGTCTTTATATTATTTACAATTCATGATCTTGATTAACTTCTATTTTTTTTTTTTTGATTAACTAAATATTATTTATAAAATTTATTATAGGTCAACGTTCCAAAAACCAGAAATACTTATTGTAAGGGTAAAAATTGCAGAAAGCATACGTTACATAAAGTATCTCAATACAAGAAGGGTAAAGATTCTTTGTATGCTCAAGGTGATTTAAAATTTTCAATTGATATTGTATGCATGTGTGTATGTATATATTATTACCATTAATTAATGTACATTCGTTAATGATATTGAAAATAGGTAAAAGACGTTACGATCGTAAACAATCTGGTTATGGTGGTCAAACAAAACCTGTGTTTCACAAGAAGGGTAATTATAGCAAAAATCATATTTCGTTCGTAAATTATTTTAATAACTGAATTTTTTTTTCCTCTCCGATTGTTTATAGCTAAGACTACAAAAAAGATTGTGCTTCGTTTAGAATGTCAGAGTTGCAAGGTATGATATCAAGATAATTAATACTATTACTTTTAAATTAAATTACTTATTTATTTTGTAATAAATAGTTTAAACATCAAGTCGCACTCAAACGATGCAAACATTTCGAACTTGGTGGTGACAAAAAGGTACGTAAATTCTATTTTATTCAGCAAACTAATAAATTTATCGCGTTTTAATTTTATAACGCATTATTTCTCGTTTATATAGACCAAGGGTGCTGCTCTTGTTTTTTAAGTTATTTGATATCTGTTTTTACCATAAAAAAAGGAGAAATGTTATTTCTTGGCTGAGGATTATTCGCTTTTCATTAATCTTTTGTGTTTTATATAATTATTAATAACAATTATGGTTGAACTATAAATAATAAATTGTTTTATATTTCACAATTAAAATTCTTTGAGATTATTAACTTTGAAGCAAATTACAATGAATAAAATGTAGTTTATTTTGTATGGCAAAAAATTTACTTGACCATTTATTTCATTACACCACCATTACTACTTGAGATATAATCATCACCCCAACCTCTATCTTCTTCACCGTTTTCACAATCCCATCCATTATTAATAGAAATTTGCCATTCATTTGTCGCATCGGATGTTGTAATCCAATTTGGTTGTTCTTCATGATGAGAATACGAATTCTCTCCATCATCATCATCATCATCATTATTCCATCCATTATTATTATATTCATTTGTTTCGGTAGACGTTGTAATCCATTTTTGTTCGTAAGTAGAGTACGTTTCATATGCACACTTATCCTCATCGTAAATTTCTTCATTGTTATTTAACGAATATTTCTTATGTACAATCATTTCTTCATTATCATTTATCAATGTAAAGTCTGAACTTGATCTCAATATATCAAGTAATTTATATTTAGTTTTGCAAAGTTGTCTCATTTCATGAATATCCCAAATCTCTTGAACTCTAATATGATTTGAGTCATATTTTTGTTGCCGTGAACTTTTAACAACTTCAACATCACTCGTATAACTATCTAACACTCTATTGCATAGGAATTGTAAATAATAATGAAGTTTTGAAAGGATTTCTTCAGTACTTTTTTCTGGTTCATCATAAAAAGGAAATTCAATTGTCTTGATGTGATTATACGTTCCAAATGATGTTAACAATGGTTTAGATGATGGATTTAAATCTCGAAAAATTGCGATTTGAGTGGCAGTTCCTACGGTTGGATCACCATCTTTTATCGTTCCAACTCCTGTAAATTCTACAGAATAATTATATTTTGCTGCTCCACAATTAGCCCTTTGTTTTAAAGAAAAGAATATCTAAATAAATAAATAAATTAGATAAATTGTACAAGAAAACAATAAAACAATTTCTTACCATTCTTGAAATTCACGCCTTGTCCATTCAAAACGATGATCTTCGATTCTTAACGTAGCCTCAGGTGTTCCATATTTTAATTGTGGAAAATAAATATTGAATTCTACATTAGGTGTCGAAACTATTACAATTTTAGGTTTATAAGTACCAAATACTATATCAAAGAATTTATTTAACACGGGCGGATCAACATGTTCTATTCTAAAAAAGAGATTAATGAAAAAAAAATATTAAAATAAGAATAGATTAATAGATTAAATAAAATTGCACCTACACTTCCATACAAATAAGTGCCTCGTATCCAAGTAATCTTTGATCTGCCACATCGATACTTCCTGAATAAATTGAATAATAAGAAACTTAAGAGGATTGATTCATGAGAATTAATAGGAAATCATATCTCAAGTTGCACCTTGATATATATCTACAGTTAATGGAGTAAGCCTCAAGAATTGCTTATCAATATCCCAAGGAGAACAATCTTTCACAGTTGTTGTAAGAGTTTCGTGACTTATATCAACACCAGCAAGTTGCGTAATTGGTGAATCTTCAAAAGGTTGGATGAGAAAAGATAAAAGTGCTCCCTCTCCACATCCAAAATCAAATACCTAATGGAAAAAATTATATACTCAATTTGGCATCACCTTGGTAATTCAATATTTTTTCTTTTTTTTAAAAAAAAGGAAATACCGAAGTTACTCCACTATTTTGTAAAGTTTCAACGACAACTCCTCGTCTTTGTCTCCATAATGGTGGGTCAAATGAAACAAAATTGTTATCTTCTCCTGCTTCCATATTTTTTATTTTAACGAATTGAAGAAGAAGTATTTAATGGGGATTGAGGAAAAAAAGGAAAATTTTATTCATTTTTTGGTATCTATTTATCCATATGTATATCAATCAATGTTTCGTGTTTTGAGGCGGAGAAATAATGAGATACCAGAGTTATAAAAAAAAGGGGGACTGAAAAATCATTCCTAAGATAGTTAGAATGTCATTTGACTTTAATATATTTAAATACAGAGAGTGAGCTTAGTTATCCGAATGCTTATTTTTGAAATAATATTTCTCCTAATTCACTGATTATAATTAAACCAAATTTTAAACTTAACATATCCAAACGTTAAAATATAAATTATTTTAAATACAGAGGGTAATTAAAAGTTTCAGAACTCTATTTTTGATATCGCATTTCTCCTAACTCTCTGATTATAAATAATTAAACCAAATTTTAATATATCTTAAATATAATTTCAAACTATAATAAATTCAAATTATAGATAATTTGAATCATTAGATATTAAGATATTGATAAATGTTAAAATATAAATTATTAGATATTAGTTGAAGTTTCTAAATAATATTACATTAAGTTTCTTAATATCTAATGAGTCAAATGATTCAAATTAAATAAATAATAATTAAATAATATTATATTTATAATATGGAACCGTTTTCAGTAAAATCAAGTCATGAGGCATAGATCCGTAATGTGATTTTACTGGAAATACCATATATCAAAATTTAAGCTAATTTGAATTACTGGTTGTTAAGCTAATTAATATAAAGATGAAATATTTTAAAACTTTAATATTTTTTGCCTTTTAATATATTGTTTATATCAGATAAATGTCAAAAATCTCAACATCTAGTAATATAATATTTATTTATTATTTATTAAAATTTTATTTAATCTGAATTATTAGATATTATTGAAATTAATGTAACATTATTTAAAAATTTTAACTAATATCTGTATTTAAAATAATTTATATTTTAACATTTACATCAATATCTCAATATCTAGTGATTCAAATTATCTAAAATTTTGATATATTATAGTTTGAGATTATATCTAAGATATATTGAAATTTGGATTAATTATAATCAGTAAGTTAGGAGAAATATGATTTCAAAATTAGCATTCAGATAACTAAGATCACTTCCTATATAAATTTAAATTTTTTTTGTTATATAAATCTTAAATTATAATAATATATAAAATTTAACTAAAATTAATTTTAGAAAATCTCAGAAGAAAAACTCTTTCTGTAACCATGTCATTACAAATTTTGCAAAAAACAAAAATAAAGACCATTTAATCTTTTTAAATAATAAATAAATTTTACTAACTAAAAAATAAAATATCCAAAAGAATTTCTCAACTGATAAAATTATAGTTAAGCTAATGTCTTCAGCTATTTTAGTTGAAAAAAATTCAGAGATTATCAACATAAATTCAGCTTCCTTAACTTCTTCTTTTACTGCTAAAGATAAATAAACAAAAGATAATAACATACAGTCGTCCCCCTTTATAGTCACACCCTTTGGGACCAAAAATAAAAAGTGTGATTATAATAAAAAGTTACTATACAGGGGGATTTTTATTTGTTGTTACTAAGCGTTGGTTCTGGAAGGGTGTGACTATAAAAACACTGTGATTATAATGAGGTTTTTTTATATTGCATTCATAGGTATTGGTTCTTACGAAATGTGTGCTTATAATGAGGGATTTATATGATGTGATTGTACAGGGGGTGACTATAGAGGGGGACGACTGTAATTGATTAATAAAATAAAAACTTAGATAATGATATGCCTCTAAAAATATATTAGTAAATAATACTAAAAAATAAAATCATCCAGTTTAAAAAAGTCCTTAAAACCTTCATTTTCTTTATCTATTGTATTATAGACAACTTACTTCCTAAAAAATCTAACAGAAAAATATTTTTTGTAAAACTGAATCACAAATTTTATTAGTACTTTAATATGCAACTTCCTAATAATATAATAAAAAAATTATAAAAATATAATTTATTATACAAGGTGATGCTAAAAATCTACTGCATTTAAAATTTTCTTTTAACCAACAGCATATTTTTATTTAATCTGTATTTATCTTTATAATTTAAAAAAAAATGATATTCATGTGAAATCAAAATTCTCTTTTAAACTTATTAATCTTCATAGATATTAATAGTCATCAATTGATTTCTATTTGATATATTATTCAATACGAAAAGTTGAATAACTGTGATATTTGCAATAAATAATATGATTGATAAAATTTTGTTAAGCAGAATTCACTAAATTTTACCAATTATATTGTTTATTGCAAATAATTGTAAGATACAATTATAAGATATATAATATTATATGTAACTATTATATTAAGTATAAAAAATTAATTATAACAAAGATTAAAATTAGCTTGATTAGCTAATAATAATGTTGATTATCAATAATAAACAATTGTAACAATTATATTTAAAAGGTTAATTTTTTTTTTTATAAAGTTTATTTTTTTTAATTATTTTTTTTTTAATATTACTTTTTTTTTTCCAGATTTTATTTTTAAAATTCTTTTTCAACTAATATGATATCAAAAGAAAATATTTATCTTCTATTGATCATCTTATAGTACTTGTTAAAAGAAAATACCTTGAAATATAATTAAAAATACTAAAAAATAGATATTAAATAATAAACAAATAAAGAGTAGATATTAGTTATAATTATTCTTTAAAAGTTAAAATAAAGATACAATTAAACTTCAAATTACTAAATTTTTTTATAATATAATTATTTTAAAGGATAATCATTATTTAAAAACTTTTTTAAAAAATACTTTATCTGCTATTAATAGATATCTACAAAATGTCAAATTTAAAAATGAGCATTATTGTTATCTTACGATACTAACGACTGAAAATTAGTATTAACACAAGATTAACAAGAGATTTAGCTTTAAAACTTTTATGATACGATTTATGAAGAGCTTCTGAAGGTTTATCAATCAAATGTATTTTAGAAACAAAGGTGATTATAGGTAAACGATAGAGTTTTATTAAATAGAATAATTATTACAAGTG